CACAAAATTGCATGGGTTAAATTTTTGTGTTCCCTCCTGTTAATTTTGTGTTCCCAGTACGTTCCCTCCTGTTCCCATGTTATGGAACTTTAAAAATGGATGATGATAGCAATCTTGATGTTTTAATTATAGAATTTTTTGAATTATATGGAACTCAATTCAATTACACTGATTTAGCAATTATTACAGCAAATGAAGGGAATGAAGGATGCTATTGTTTAAAGGTATTTAACAAATAATCTGATATATATATACACTTTATGTAGTAAATATGTGTGTATGTATGTATACGCATTGTTTTTCTTATTTTTTACTTCATTTTCTAGGCATGCTTAAAATTTTTGATGCTCTTGACCAGGGAAATACAAATAAGGAAAAAAATTGCATAAAAAACCATTCTTATATGGAATAAGTCAAGTCAATACTAATGCTAATGTGTCCACTTCGGCATTGAACAACTCTGTAGATGGAAAACTTGCCGGAATTGAAAATCTCTTAATGAAATATAGAAAACCGAAATATAGCAGACGGTTTTAGTTGTTCGTTTTCTCAAGGTAAGACCTCCTCCCTCTTTTTCCTTACATGAATGGACGATGCATTATTCACAAACAATGCAGTACCTAGCCATCTATGTATCTATTAGATTGATTGGGTCTGCTAGATCTGTGAGTCTGTTTCAGCAAGGTTTTATGCAATGGGGAGAATTTAAGAAGTTTTTCAATGATAGATAGAGTAAATAAGGAAGAGTATTCATCAATAAATGCGTGTCAGATTATATCTAAAGAAACAAACTAGGCCATTGGGTATACCACTGTAGATAAAATTTATAAACGTACCACAAATATTCAATGACGTATATACAATGAATGCAATTAATGGGTGGGTGGAAAATGAAAAATTTAAAAGTAATAGCTTAGCATCTTTTTCGATCGCTGAACCCAAAGAATAGGGCGCGAATTTTTCCTCCAATGCAAGTTCAAAGTTTATTTTAAGAAAGTATTTAGTTAATGCGGAATCTATAAATAATAAAAATATACTTTATTCCATGTATAAATAATATCCGCTCGATTAAAATAGATGGAAGAAATTCGAAAGTCGTCATCACCATTGTTATCATTACCTTCTTCCTGCATCATTTAACTAACATCTTTCATTTTTTCATCATCCATTGATCATGATTTGTCATAAATATTAATTCCTGCATTTTGTGAGAAATCCCTTAATCTTTCATAACAGCCTTCAAGAAAACATCATTCATTAGCAAGCAAGTTAGTTTGGTGAATACCACTTCAGCTTGCCAAAAATCTCCAACCGAAGAATCGAGTATTCTTCGGTTCAGGATTGGTTACCAAAAGAAGTCAACATATTTCTTAATAAGAGATTTGCTAAAGATTGGAACATGCTAAAAAATTTCGGATTCGAGAAGCATAAAGTGATGAGGGATGCATTGTTGGAATTGAAAGCAAACCATATGCGCAATGCAGGGTTATCATTTCTGGTCGCAGATGAGTTTGAGAACACCATTCACATCCAATCTTATAATGATGAGGATGAACTATTGGGAAAGTTTGAGGAATATACGGTATGTAACGAGGGTAACCTTCGTATTTTTTTGAAGAATGTTGACGGGACGGGATTAGAATCTATTAATGATGACAATGAAATCCCAAAGGTCATCATTTCTCTAAAATACATCCAATATAATCAATATTACCGAACCAATGCTTCTCACCTCAAAAAGGAAGTTACCTGGTCGAAAGTCAAAGATCAAGCAATGGAAGAAGGAACTTTATTGGCCATACAGAATGCTCTCAACGAAAAGATCAAGGCGTCTATAAAAATTTATTCTAATCGAGTAATGAATAATCAGGAAGATAAACCACTGATGGAGGGGGTGGAATTTTAATTTATGGTTGTAAGGTATTTTTATGTGAAGCAAAATATAACATGACGTTTGTAAATATAAAGGAATTCCATTTGATAATTATCTCCTGTGGATTTGTTAGACAAGTTCACTAATAAATCTGGCATTTTCAAAACATCTAGTTAATTTCATCGATCGATTAAAGGAACTCCCAAAGAAACAGCAGGCCATGAATTCAAACAATTGTTGGGAAAGCAACATATTGGGTTGTTTGTGGGGATAAATTAGGATTGATAGTAGTATTTCCAGGTGGTGATTGTTATAAAGTATAAATACCCGAAAATTTGCATATTGGATCTTAGATCTGTACGATCTGATTAACTGGATATTATAAATTGGAAAATATTGCTAAATAAATATTATTATGCTATTATGAAAAAATAGAAGAAATAGAAGCTATTGTAAATCCAATTACAAGTAAATTATATTCGTCAGATCCATCAGATGAAAAATCAACAACTGACGAGGATGATGAATTGCCAACACACGGAGAATTATAAAAAAATGGAACAAACATTTTTATTCATTTTTTTGTCAGAAATAACTTAAATATCCATTAATTATGCATATATATTCTTTCATGAAGTTAGACAATGTTCTTATTCTCATTCCAAAAATTGTAAAAATTAAAAGTCAAG